ATCCTGCTCTACCACCAGTATTTCCTACCTCTCCCCTTTGAAAAGGAACATCTTGTGAGAGGCGCCTGCAGAGCACCTGCCTGCAATAGGGCTCTGTTCCCTTTCCCTCCTTGTCCATAGTCACCATTCTAACTTCATTCCTGAGTGCTGTTCCAGCCATCCTGCAGACCCACAGGACATCTGCACTTGGTGACACGCTACCAACTTGGTCCTGTGCTCTTGTCTTATAGGACTTGAGGGTCTACAAACAGCAGCCATGTACCACTTTTTATCTGTGCTCCTCTTATGAAGTTCCTAGTACCTTATGTGAAGATTTTGGCCCCAAACCTGCTTGTGGGTTCTTCCAGGATGTGTGAAATCCTGCCTCATCCTGGATTCCCAGCACCTTCCACATATGTGTCTGGTATTCAAGACAAGTTTGAGAATGGTGATGCTGTTGTGTTGAGGTATTTAGTGGGCCAAGGTTTGTGGGATGCTCTTAATAACTTTAATAAATCCAATGTGGGAGAGCCAAGATGGAGGCATAGGTGGAAGCACTTCGCCTTCTCACACAACCAAGTTTAAAAACAACAAAGTTTTAGCAACAAAAATGCAGCCAAACCACAGAAAATTGAACTACACGGAAGTCTGACAACAACGAACCCTTCAGCCAAACCGGTAAGAGGGGCAGAGCCAGTGGCAGAGCCAGCAGCAGAGCGGAGTCGGGCAGGAAAGATCCACCAGACCCATCCGGGTGAGCAACCCAGGTGCGCCAGCAGCCGTGGGCGGATCCCAGGTGTGGAGAAGTGGGCAGACCCACTGAGGGTGCAAGGTGGCGGACCCACTGAGGGCGGACTGTGGTCACACATTCATGCGCAGATAAACCAGTGAAGGAGCTAGCGGTGGTGAGACAGACCACGCAGGCCCCAGCGGTGAGAAGCGGCAGAGAGAGTCGCCATTGTCCCTCTCTGACCCCACCCCCACATACAGTGTCACAAATCAGCGACCTGGGTGGCCCCTCTCTGTCCATGCCCCCACATACAGCGTCACAAAACAGTGACCTGGGTGGCCCTGCCCTGGTAAACAACTAAGGTTTTGCTCCTCATACATAACAGGCACGAACAGATCAAAACATGGCTCAAGAACAACTCAGAGCCCCAGAGCCAATAAATCTAAATGATGAAGAAATAGCAAAACTTTCAGATGCACAGTTCAAAACACTGGTGATCAGGACACTCATAGAACTGGTTGATTTTAGTCACAAATTAGAGGAACATATGGAAGCTAAACTAATTGAAAAGAAGGGAAATACACAGGAAACCAATAGTAATGGAAAGGAAACTGGGACTCAAATTAAAGGAGTGGACCAGAAGAAGGAAAAACATGACCAAACAGAAAAGGATGAAGAAACAAGAATTCAAAAAAATGAGGAGAGGCTTAGGAACCTTCAGGACATCTTTAAACGTTCCAACATCTGAATTATAGGAGTACCAGAAGGGGAAGAGGAACAGCCACGAGTGGAAAACTTATTTCAACAAATAATAAAGGAGAACTTCCCCAATCTGGCAAAGGAAATAGACTTCCAGGAAATCCAGGAAGCTCAGAGAGTCCCAAAGAAGTTGGACCCAAGAAGGAACACACCAAGGCACATCATCATTACATTAGCCAAGATTAAAATGGAGGAGAGAATCCTAGAAGCAGCAAGAGATAAGGGGACAGTCACCTACAAAGAAGTTCCCATCAGACTGTCAGCTGATTTATCAAAAGAGACCTTACAGACAAGAAGGGGCTAGAAAGAAGTATTCCAAGTCATGAAATCCAAAGACCTACATCCAAGATTGATCTCTCCAGCAAAACTTTCATTTAGAATGGAAGGGCAGATAAAGTGCTTCTCAGATAAGATCAAATTCAAGGAGTTCATCATCACCAAGCCCTTATTATAGGAAATGTTAAAGGGACTTACCTAAGAAAAAGAAGATAAAAAAGAGGAACAGTGAAAGGACAGCAAACTCAGTTATTAACAACCACACCTAAAACAAAAGCAAACTAAGAGGACAGCTAGATCAGGAGCAGAATCATAGAAATGAAGATCACATGGAGGGTTAGCAACAGGGGAGTGGGAGAAGGAGAAGGGGGGAGAAGGTACAGAAAATAAGTAGCATAGACAGTAGATAGAAAATAGATTGGGGGGGCAAGAATAGCATGGGAAATATAGAATCTAAAGGACTTGAGACACATGGTCATAAACTAAAGGGGGGTTAATGGTGGGGATGGGGGTGTAGGGTGTAGGGGAATGAAGAGGGGAATAGAACAACTGTAACAGCATAATCAATAAAAAAATTTAAAAAAAAAGAAAATAGGGGGGAGGGCAAGAATAGTATGGGAGATATAGAATCTAAAGAACTTGAGACACATGGTCATAAACTAAAGGGGGAGGAATGGTGGGGGAGGGGGTGTGCAGGGTGGAGGGGAATGAAGGGGGAATAGAACAACTGTAATGGCATAATTAATAATATATATATTTTTTAAATCCATGGAAAAATAAATAAAAATAAAAATGCTAAAAAATTTAAATAAATAAAAATAAAAATTAAAAGTGAAAAAATCCAATGTGGGAGAAAATGGTGCTAAGAAAGTCTCATGTAGGTGGTACAGTATGACTGGAACACCTGGTTGAAGGAAGGAGATCCTAGAGCTGGACTGCCTGGGTTCAAATCCCAGCCTCGCCACTTAAAAGGTGGCAACTTCAGGCAAATAAATTTCCTGGGCCTCAGCATCCTCATCTATTAAATGGACAAAATACACATGCGCTCCCTCCCAGGAGCATGCCCACGCCTCTCTCCCCCCGCAGGAGTGGATCTCCTGAACTCCGGGGGTCCCCATAGACCTGCAACCAGAGGAGCAGTGGGCAGCAGCAGCCGAGCCCGGGCTGACCCCCCTGAACCTGTCTCCAAGGTCCCCCTTTCTCTCCCTTTCCCGAGAGCCAAAGGAGCCCTGCCAAGGGTCTCTCCTGTTGCTTCTGTCCTAAGCCCTTCCTTGTTTCACTGTCCCCAGCTTTCATAAACATACTGTCCGATACCCTGGCCAGGCAGCGAGCTCAGTGAGTTAGAGGTTAGAGGGGTACCAAACTCATTTTCACTGGGGGCCACATCAGTCTCCAGGTTGCCTTCAAAGGGCCGAATGTAATTTTAGGGCTGTATAAAAGTGACTATTCCTTAACTAGGGGCAAAGAACTTCGTGCCGCCGCTGGATAGAGACAAGGTGCCAGGCTGGATAAAACCAGATGGAGGGCCTTGTGTTTGCCATCTGTGGGTTAGAGCATCATCCCGACACAACAAACCGCCAGTTGGATCCCAGGCTGGGGCGCAAATAAGAATCAATGAACACAGAAGTGGGCCAACAGATTGACGTCTCTCTCTCTTCCTATCTAAAATCACTTTAAATAACTAACTAAATAAATAATGCTAAAAAAAATCAAAGAATAAAACAGCGCCCACTTCATGGCAGCCATGACAGGATGAGATGCTCTAATATAATTTAAAGCACCCAGAACGGTACCTAGTACCTGTGTGTTCAGGAAATCCTACCCCCTAGGATTTTGAAAGCAGAGAGGCAGTGTGGAGGTGGCTTTCTGAAAGGAGTTCAGGAAAAGGGACTTAAAGGGCACAGAAGCAAAAGAGGAAGTGACAGCTTGTGCTCGTTGTGGAAAAGAGGTGGCTGAAGTGTTGGGGCGAGTGAGGCGCATTCAGGAGACATATATGGGCCCCCTAGAGGAAGAAGGGCCAGTGGTGGTAAGAGTCAGCAGCTATGCCTTGGCTGATGTGGCTCCATGGATTTAGCCCTGGTCTGTGAAGCAAAGGGTCACCGGTTTGATTCCCACCCAGCACACATGCCTGAGTTGCAGGCCAGGTTCCTGTTTGGGGATGTGAAAGGCAACCAATTGATGTATCTCTGACACATCAATGTTTCTCTCCCTCTTTCTCCCTTCCCATCTCTAAAAATAAATATATAAATAAAATCTTAAAAAAGTAAAATCAGCATAGCCCTGACTGGTGTGGCTCTGCTTGGTCATCATCCTGCAAAGTGAAAGGTCACCAGTTCCATCCCCAGTCAGGGCACGTGTCTTGGTTGCGGGTTCAGGTCCCAGCCGAGCATACACGAGAAACCAACCCATGTTTCTCTCTTTCTCCCTTCCCCTCTCTCTAATAAAAAGTAAAATCTCTTTGAAAAAAGAATAAACAGCTATCATTTGGGGGCATTTAAGTATCCCAGACAACTCAGATCCTCACGTGACCCTCCCAACTACCTTATTATGTATTGGTTTACAGGTGAGAAAAGGGAAAAGCACAGAGCAGTGACTTGCCCTAATGACACAGCTAGTGAGCAGCGGGGCTGACTCCAACAGTCACTGCGCACCAGCCTTCCCCCTGCAGCTTCAGCGTGGGAGGGTGCCGGGCAGGACAGGCCCCTGGGGGGGCTGGTTAACTGCACTGGGCCAAGAAAATCTTCTTAAAAAGGGCAGGGGAGCGAGTAGGACTAGAAGGTGCTGCTTTGGTTAATCTCCTGCTTCCAAAACCCAGCCCTTTTCCCACATGTTGGTACTTTGCTATAAAACCATTTCCCTTTCCCTAGACCACAGCTCCCGAGTGGGCCAGCCTCTCAGGGGGAAACAGGCTGGCTTTGCCTGTACCCTTCCCATTCTTTACACAAAACATTCAGTTGCGAACACTCCCTCCACCCCTCTCCAGATATGAATCCTTGGCCTCCGCCCTCCAGCCTAGAAAGTGTTTCTGGAATAGGTTCTCATTCCACCAAGGGAGTGGGAGCCCACCTAGCAGCTTTTAAAACCCTGGCCCTAATTCTCTGGTCTTGTGGACCATCAATCCAGAAAGCACCAAAGTCCTGCAGGGCTGCCAGGACTCTGAGCTGAGCCCGGGTCTCCCCAACTGCCTTCTTCCTTGTTAAGGGTACCCCCAAGTTCTTTTCTTTCCCCCACCTCCCACCAAAAAGCCAAAGCATGCTCCAAAACAAAAGACGAATTTATTCAGCAGACATTTTAATTAAGAAATCCTATAAATCAGGACCGCCACAATTTCAGACACTCCGGTGCGAAGTGTACGTCAATAGCTACATCTGGAGGATGAACGAGCCATTGAATCTTTTTTTAAAAAAATGGGTTTAGCTACCTTCAAGTCTGGGGCTGGGGGGTAGCACTTCACTTAAAGTGCCATCAAGTTTCACAAGGGTAAAGCCGGCGGTTTCTCCTCTCAGCGAGTCACATTTTAAAGATGGTTTCAGTCACTTACAAAGAAGAGTTAGTGGCAGGAGCAATGTACGAGGGAAGAGGACCCATGGAGGCTCAGGCCCACGGATCCACACAGGGCCAGATCAGAGCAGAACCACCACCAGGGTCCCGGTGTCCCATGCAGACACCAGAACGGGTGGATTAATACAGGCAGACTAGGAGAACTGGAGAGAGGCTCAAGAGATTGTTTATGACCGTTTCTGAGAAAGCTCAGGGCATGGCCAAAAGTGGCCTCATGAGGAGGAGGAGTCTGGAAGGAGGAAAGCACAGGGAAAAAAAAAACCAACAAATAACTCCCCCCACAAGTCCCTCTATGCCTGTGTCTCTTCGGGAGACTCCAGAAGGTAGGAAAGCACAGACTTGGCTTTTTTTTGGAGCAAGAGGAAGAAAGGACAAGGGGATGAGTTAGCTCTCCCAGGAACCCCACAGCATTCCCCGTACAGCAAACCGTGACCTTGAACCACAGGTGGCAAGGTCAGTCATTAAAAAGCCCAAATCCAACTCCAGTTCGATCCACCTTTCCACCTTCAAAATTCTCCACCTCCCACCCCATAATTGGACCTCACATCTCCCACCTTGACCAGCCCCTAACTAAGTGGGAGGGAAGGGGCGATGCTAACTACCCACTGCCAAGCTTTTACATTCCTCTTTCCTCCGGAATTTCTTTGTACACCAATTGTAGCACCATTTTCACAAAGCTCCTCCACCGGAAAATAAAGAAAATGTACTCGTGTCATTAAGTTTTCAAGTATTGTTCTAAAGCCCTCACGAATTCCCGCCCCTTGTGGCCCTATCTTTAAACAATCCAAGAACACGACACCCCCAAGGGTTAAGTCAGGTACAAATCAATAAAAGTAGCTGCCATAGTTCTCCCAGTTTATCCCAGGTCCTTGGCCCAAAGGTGGCCGGGAAGTTCTCACGCGGCACAGACGTGTCCTGGCCGGTGCATTTCTCCACGTTCAAGTTTTTTCCAACAGCCTTGCTGGGGCCGGTAACTTCTTGGCTGGAGGTCTTTCCCAACACTCCTCCCTGCAGCCTCGGCTCTCGCTCCCAGAACGGCGACGGTGGCTTCAGCTCAGGGTGGGTGAGGGCAGGACGTCTGTGCAGCGGCCTCCACTTCCTACTTCGGGGACCCCGGGTCAGTGCAAGGCACCCGAGGACTGCAGAGAGACCGGCTCCGGTCCGCCGCGGCCTCCCCCAGTCCCGGAGGCGCTGGCCGGGCCTGCAACCACAGCGACAGCTCGCTGGATCCTACGCACAGCTTCCTTGATGAGGTTCCCCGAGAGCACGAGCTGTTGCAGGAGCCGGTGCGGGTCATCGTCGTGGGCGCGCGTGCTGGCTGGGGGCCATCGTCGCTGCTGCAGGCGGCGGGAGGCTACAGCGCCCCGCAACCATCCTCGGCGGCACGGCCCTGGCAGGGCGCTGTGACCTGCGGCGAACTCGGCCACAAAGTAGGGCGCAGCCCGGCCTCTCACGCGGTTGCGGTCTCCGAGGGCGCAGCGAAGGGCCCCTGGTGGCGCTGGGCCCACCGCCTCGGCCGCCACAGGAGGCAGAACCGGAGGCTCGGCCTTGTCTGCCCGCACCACCGCTGCCGGGGGCCGCAGCAGCGGCCCGGGAGGTGCGCACGGGGTGGCAGGGCTGTCCTGCGTCGCGTCCAGCTGCAGCGTCTCGCCAATCTGGGCCACCAGCCGGTCCACCTCGCCGGAGCCGCCCAGCGTCACTGACTGCTCCAGCAGGAGAAAACTGTCTTCCTCCTCCTCTTCCTCCGCCTCCGCTTCCTCACCGGCTTCCTCTTCCTCCTCCCTCCGGCAGGGCATGGTCCCCAGCCCAAGAATCTGAAGCTCTGCAGGAGTCTCTGGCGACTCGGTGGGCCGCAGTGGAGCTGGGTGCAGTGCTGAGGCCGAATTCGAGGCTGAATCCGGGGCCAGGGCTGAGGCCGAAGCCGGGTAGCCGGGGGGAGGACGCGAAAGGAGAAGACCGGCTGGCACTCTTGCCGCGCGCCGCAGCCGCGGTAGCCAGAATCCTACCGGCTCGGGTTGATTTGTAAACAATGGGTGACGTAGTGGCTGGACGCAACCACGGCGCAGGGGCGGGAGGAGAAGTGCGAGCAGGTACAGCGTCGCGGGCAGTCGAGGGCAGGGCAGGGCCGTGGCCGGAACCTCCCCTTGTCTGACCTCGGTATCCCTCTATATGCGGCTCCTGGGTGTGGGAAGACCTTCGTGGGTCCCCGAGTGGATGAGCCACACAAAAAAATGGTGACTCTGAGGCGACCTGGGTTGGTTTCTGCCACTCGCAGACACACCCACCCACACTCCTAACCCCTCCTCCTACTCCGACACTAGCTCCCTCCCCACGTGTCATCAACGCTTGAGATGGCCCTGCTCCTCCCCCGCGCACCCGCCGTCACCGGACTGGGGGTGGTGGGGGAGGAGCGGGCCGCGGTCGGACTTCCGAGAGGTGGGGGTGGGGAGAGGGGAGAGAATTGAGGGTGCTGAGGAGCCATCGCAAAGGTAGGCGGAATCGATCTCAGGTGGGGTTTCCGAGGTACGCCCAGTCCTCAAGCACTTCGTGAGAAGGACGTGCCACCGCATGGCTGAAGAGTTGACTTTGTTCGTTAAAAAAGGAAAAGATTCAAATTGAAATATAGGGCGATGAAAACACATCTCTCACAATCATAGGACTCAAACGCGATGCACATGAAAACATTTTTTCCTTTACAGTTTTTTCCATGAAAGTGTTATACGACAGCCACGTATACAAAGTTACACTTTTCCCCTTTGGTATTACACCATAAACGGTGTTCTTGTTATTGCATGCACTTTGAGAATGTAATCATTACGTAAGTTTCCATCAAGTGGCTGTACCATACATTATTAAGTCCTTTAATGTTTACTGTTTATCTAATTTCACTGTCGTAGATAAGTTTGTGACTGACATTTTTGTGTGTAAAACTTTCCATGTTGATGAGTGTTTTCTAAGAATATATTCCCACGAATGAAATTTAAGGTCAAAGGATATGGATATTTTAAGGTTTCTGAGAAACCTAACAAACTGCTTTCTAGTTGGGTAAATTTCCTCTCCCATCATTAATTTGTGAACACATTATTCATGGCACCTTCAACTAGTATTTGAGTACTATTGTTAACTTTTTTGCTGGATTCATAGATGGAACTGATAATGCCTTTCAGGTTTTTTAAATTATTATTTTACTTAAGTACAGCAGTTTTCAAAATGTTAATTAACTGCATTTCTTTTTTTGTGTGTGTGAATTATTTCATAAGTTCTTCCTATTGAGTTTTTCTTATTTGCATGACTCCTCTACATCCCAGGAGTTAACTCTTTTCTTTCATATTTTGGTATGAATATTTCGGGTATTTTTATTGGCTCTGTACAGGGTTTTTTTCCCCCCACTAACACTTAACAAACTTTGATGTAGTCAAATTTATAAAATCCCTTTCTTTGAGACTTCTAACACATTGCTAAATTTAGAGTCTTCTTGCCTCCAGAAAGTTACTACTCAGTTCAATTTTTTTTTTAAAGATTTTTTCTAATGCTTTGATTTTTTCCAAATCTATCTGGATTAATTTTGCTCTTGGGTGCAGGGAGAGGACATAATTTTTTTTTTCTTCAGAGAGCTTGCCACTCAGGGCTATATTTTTTCGTTAGGACAGAGGTGTGTGGGAAGTATAAACACAAGCTTGGGGTGGTGAGCTCCCAGCTGCTGTTAAGCTGATGAATGTGAGCAAGGGTGGGGCTGGGAATATTTTGATCAGGCTGTGATGGGGAGTCAAAAGAACACTGAACAGGTTGTACAAAGACCCAGATTCAAGTCTCATTCCTGCCATGTCTGAGGTGTGTGGCTTCTGGCAAATCAGTTTACAAGTGTGTTCACTTGTAAAATGGAAAAAATAATCCCTGCTCTGCCTCCCCCTGAGGATTGTGTTCAGGATCAAATGAGATAATGGGAACAGGCTTTGTTGGGCATTATACAAATGTAATGTGGGATTAGGTCCATGGTTTACTAACTGGGGCCTGGCCCAATTCCAGCAACTCCCCCAGGGAAACAGCTAATATAGTAATGATGAGGGACAGCTCCCCTTGCAGCCCACTAAGTAAAACATATCCTAAAGGCATTACTTCCTTGAACTTGCTAGGTGCCTTGTATTCTGCCTCACATCTACCCTGACCTGAGAGTGTTCAAGGCCCTCTTGGAGTCAGCCCAGAGGCTCCCAAGTTCCAAGGTGTCACTACAACCAGTTCTGCAGGTTTTGGTGACAGATCCCTTCCTGACAGGCAGCCTTCCTCCTCCATCTCCGTTGAGGGCTCTTCACACACTTTACTGATGAGCACTGAAAGCCGTTCCCCCCAGAGAGAGTGATTCTCATTTCACTCTGATGGTACTTACTGGCGAATTTCAAGGGGAATGAAAATTAGGGGAGGTCTATGGATTTCAGCAGAGTTAAATGGTAATTTTTTTCCTCCTCTCTGTAAGATGATGCTGCCTATAAGTAGAGAAAAGCAGTTTTATGCTCCATTGACTTTAAACATTAATGGGGCTGGTGTTATTGTGTCTAACCCCGCATGCCTGGAAGTCGTTTTTGTCTTCTTGTCAGGGTAATTCCCATAGTGTTCTTAGTACTATAGGAAATGGAGCTTTGAGATGGCATTCTTTTAAAAGTCTTCCCTTTGTTATGTTGCTTGTGTGTGGAGATTGCTATGTAAATATGCCCGGAACTTGGATATTATACTATTCATTATAGAGATGAATTCATTACAGAAGACCAGCTCCATTTTCTGGGGGCACCTCTCGGGAGAGCTTTGAGAGAGAGAGAAGTGCTGTGTCGGACCAGTGGGAGGCAGAGAAGTGCCCTGGATTAGGAATCAACATATAAGATGCTAGAGAGGCTCAGATGCAATTAAAAGTAATGAGAGGGTATCAGAAAGGGAAGCGATGGGAGCTGTGTGCCTGGCATTCTGGCGGCCTCCCTGGAAAGGCACAGAGGGTGTTCAGAAGCAGCGGTGGAAGGACACAGAATGCAAAGATTTTCTGCATTAATGTAGACTGCATTGAAATCCTTCCCAAGGAATCTGCTTTCCGCGAATGCTTTGTTTTTCAACTACCTGCACTCGGAGACCCCAGCTGAGGTGAACAGGGGTGGACACTGGGCTGGGAAACCTGGCTGGATCTAGTCACTTCATCCTTCTATGCCTCAGGTTCCAAATCTGAAAAATGGGGAGGGGTCGATCCCTTCTTTACAAAATTGTTATGTTACATGAGAACGTGTATGGGAAGGCTTATCACACAGACCCAGGTAATGATATTAGAGTTAGGTTCTGAGGAGTGAAAACAGTTGTAGTGATGTTCAAGTCTAAAACAAAGGCAAATTCTGTGCTTTGGTCCATCAGTGGGTGAATGGATAAAATAAACTGCGGCACACCCATACTCTATAATATTAGTCTTAAAAAAATGAATAAAATATTGATGTGCTGCAACATTACACTAAAAAACATTGTACTCAGTGAAACACACCAGGCACCAAAAGGTCCTGTCTTGTGATTCTGTTTATATGAAATATCTAGAATAGAGACAGATAAATCTGTAGAGACAGAGAGCAGGTTGGTGTTTGCTTAGGTCGAGGTGGGAGGGCCCTGGGTGGGGGAGGGTGACTGGTAATGGATGTAAGGTTTTCTTATGGAGTGTGGAAATGTTTTGGAACTTGTTAGAGGTGACAACATTCTGGGTGTACTAAATGCCACTGAATTATACACTTTAAAATGGCTAATTTTTGCCCTGGCTGGTGTGGCTCAGTGGATTGAGTGCTGGCCTGTGAACCAAAAGGTTGTTGGTTCAATTCCTGGTCAGGGCACATGCCTGGGTTGTGGGCCAGGTCCTCAGTAGGGGATGCATGAGAAGCAACCACACACTAATGTTTCTCTCCCTCCCTTTCCCTGCCTAAAAGTAAATAAATAAAATCCTTTTAAAAATAAAATAAAATGGCTATTTTAAAAATATATATTTTATGTATTTACTTTTAGAGAGAGGGGAAGAGAGGAAGAAAGAGAGGGAGTGAAACATGGATGTGTGAGAGATACATCATTCAGTTGAGTCTCACACGCCCCCAAGCGGGGACCTGGCCCACAACCCCACATGTGCCCTGACCAAGAATGGAATCAGCAGCTTTTCGGATGGCAGGCCGGCACTCAATCTACTGAGCCTCACCAGCCAGGCCTAAAAGTGGCTAATTTATGTTATGTGAATTTCACCTCAGTAAGAAAAATTCTATGCTGTATCTGCTACTTGATCTAGTTCTTTCTTCCCCTCTTTGTAATTGTGACTGTCATCCATTTGCTGATGTGAAGTAATCACGTTTTCACCATCGTTTTAAAGCAGCTTGCAGATCTTTCTCCACTTTGAGATCACCCAATTCCCTCGCTCCTATTGTGTGGTTTTCTGGCTGAGATGGACGGGGTCGTTGCTTTTCCTCAACATGGAAGTGAAGGCTGGCCCTGGGGCAGCCAGGGGCCCACAGTGGGCCCGAGAAAGACCTGCAGTGATCCTTCCCATCCCCAAGTTTTCTTCCAGTCACTGCCCCTCTCCTTTGTGCTAAGGATGTAGGCCGGGGAATTAGCTGCGATACAATGCATAAAGGGAAAGGGATTCTTTTAAATAAATTTACCAGCCAGGTAACCATGATTAAAATTTGCCTTGGAGAAAACTCTGTTCAGATGAAAGATTAGTGGTTGCCAAAGGCTAAGGGAGTCAGAGAGGCTGTTGTTACAAAGGGAAACAGGCGAACTTGGGGGTGGCGGTGATGGACCCGCTCAGTGTCCGATTGTGGTGAAGGTCACACACATCCTTATGGGCCTTAAAAACTCAGAACTATACACGGAAGCAGCAAAACAAACTGCAAACACACATACCATATACTGATAATGGTGGTGATTACATGGGTGAAGACATTTGTCAAAACTCAATGAGTGCATAAAACAACAAAAAGAAAAAACTCAATGAACACTTATATGGGTGAATTAATTATTTGTAAAGTATACCTCAATGAAGTTGATTTCTTAAAATCTGCCTTGAAACATGAAAGACACGGGCCCTACGAGTTCTCCGTAAATCACACCACTTGGGGAAGTAGGAGAGATGACAAGTGGGCCCCAGGCTCTGCACCAGACCAGGCCTCTCAGGGAGAGAGAAGTCCT